AGTGCCTCTGAAAACACATGATCACCTCAGGCATCCTACGACTCCACAGACAATCACAGATAAACTGACAGAAAAGCAATCTTCAACGATTCTGAATAATAGTTTAGGACATTTGTCTGATACCAGAATGTTAAATGGGAATATCTGACAGCTTCTCATGACAGTAAACTCCACATCCGAGCATTTTGTACTGTTGAATGACAGCCAGGTGGACTAATTGCACACCCTGATCACGATTTGTCCTGTGTTACATTGTTACAGCTCCTGGGCTTGCTTAGGTAAATGATTTCTAACCTTTATCAGAGTTACAGTAGTTTTACATTCTCTGAATTTTGTTTTCCTGCTGAGCTGTTGAACACTGCACAAATAAAACTGAGAGTTTCTAAAGCCAGTCCCATCGTGTCTCTGATTGACAGCTCAGCGGGGGGGGGAGCAGGGCCGGGTGGAGCAGGAAGTAACTCCTGTGGGGACAGGAAGCGGGTGTGTTTGTCAAAGCAGCGTGCCAGGACGTCCAAACAGGAAGCAGGAAATCACTGGAGAGACAATGGTACCTGACCTCTGACACCCGGGACAGGCCAACATCAAAGAGAGATACATGCACACGTTTGTCCGTTTGTCCTAGTGAGCACTGTGATCAACGTACCGCTTTCCCCGGCCCCTGAACCAGAACGTGGATCTAATCTGACCCTTTAGACAGCCTCTGGAGCTCTGACCCACACTTTTCAAAGAGTGTCCCCATTTTCCAAAATGTCCTCACAGCATTTGACCCGGATCATTGTCCCCACAATGGTAGTTAAACCAGAATAAACACATGGTAACCAAAACAACTGTGACATTTTCCCACAGACTGCTTCTAGATTCAAACATATCAGTGTTTTTTTCACTGGTAGGTTGATCCACATTTGCTGCTGTCAAATCCACATGTTTATATAAATCAGGACCTGGAGCCAGATTTATATAAACATGTGGATTTGAGTTTAATTAAACTCAAATAAATTTTAATGTAGGTTATAAAATTAAAGGTTAACTGTTTTATCTTTACTTTTTGTTTCACCTCAAACATTCAGCATTTTTATATAAGTAGGTTTTTGGCTTTGTAATAGCCTGCTCGTAAAACTATAATAATCAAGATGCATTTGTTTGCTTGACTAAATGATTTGATGGTGAAGCAATTTTATATTCTTGTGGAAATTTGTATTTTACAATTCAATTCAATTCAATAAAACTTTATTGATCCTGAAGGTTGACCCCGAAGGAACTTGGGACATGCTTCAATATTATCCAGAGCATTTTCAGGGACAGTAAATTTAACACAAGTCATTTATTTAAATATTTAAGGCCAGTGAACAAATATTCCTGCATTTATGAATTTTTGATTGCTTCTTTATCCACATTACACTAAATCCCTACAGCCACTCTTGTGGGTGGTGGAACCACAGGAGAGCTGGCCTCAACTGGCCTCCAACCCACTCCACTGAGGTCTTGTGAATCACACTTCATCTGGATGAAGAGGCTGAGGCAAATCTAGAAGAGTTTATGTATCATGCCTCCTATGATTTCCTGTGAAATCATTGTGCAGGGAGAAGTTTAAGTACAATTTTACTTCCGGGACATTTTTGTAATGGAGGGGTTTTTTTGGGGGTTTTTTTAAACAATGCTATTATAGAAATTTTACTTCATTAAAGCTCCTGAGTACCTCTTGAATAATTCTTCCAATTTCCTGGCATATAAATGGATGTTTGTTATGGACTTACATAGACTGGAATGATGTTGTTTTGTTAATCAGCAGAATGGCTCCCCCTGCTGGACATGAACAGAGTGACTCCTGTCTGGTCTAAGTGTTAGATGCTGTAAAGA